ATAGTCCCTAACTTCCCTCTGTATTGCATTAACCACCCCCACCTTCATCACCTAAAGAGAAGAAAATGTTATCTTTCCTTTTACTATTCCTGGGGTGCCAAAAAAAAAAAAAGGTATGCAAGCGGACACTTGGGTCAATGTTGCTCAAGCAGCAGTTTGCTACAAACAGAAATGTCTGGACGTTAATGTAACTATTTTGAGCACCTCTTGTAACTGCAGAAGTCAAACTTGACTTGTATTCATCTTTTGTTATCAGTATATGTTCAGTATTACAATGTTAATAGTTTTCCTTTCTTAAAATGTGTATACATTTTTTTGATACCCTCTGTATTTGAACTAAGTAGCCATCTTTGGGAGTTCTCTTGCTATTTCCTAAAAGCAGTAACCTCAAAATACTGCATTTGAGTTTACTAATATTTACTTGCTTTAATTACATTTCTGAATATATAAAATAACATTTACCATAGTCATTAACTGGAGATCTATCTATGTGTACAATTAAACACATTTAAAAGTATATGTTATGGAAAAAATACATAGTCAAACGTTCCCAATATTCATCATTCACTCTTGGCATCTTAAGATATATTTTATAATTAGGTAGATATTTACTGTATTACCTTTTAAAGCTTACTGCAAACTTGGCCCACAAAACTGAAATTTGGAGAAAAAGTTGATCTTGGAGCAGTAAAAACTCCAGTCGAATAACCTCAAAATGGTAACAGCAAATGGAATTACTGTCATAAAAACAGCTGTCCTCCAAACGACTGATTAGAAAGGGATCTCATGTTTTACTAAACAAAGTCTGCAATTAAGAGAAAGTAAAAGTAGCGTTACGTTAAAAATTATATTTCACCATTTTTTTTTCATAAAGAAATCAGATACAAGAAATATAGGAAAGGTATTGGGAGTAAATGTGAATGCCGCCTAGCAGAAACCAAAACTAAAGTGAATTATGGGTGACACTGGTAGACCCCTCAGCATTTAGCCAACAACGTGACTTCCTGGGTCAGAGTTTTAAACAAAAAATAGAAGCAGAATCGCCCATCACGACACATATGAAGCCAACATAGCGGATCAATAGAGCACTTTGCAACAAGGAACTCCAGAGCAAAGCGGGTTCGTTGTTCAAGAGCTGGGAATTCACCACGTGAAAGGGAGACACAAGGATGATCCTCCAAAATCAAAACCCGTTTCTTTCAGAGCCGATTAATCATGCTTGGCTAAGAGCATCAGACACACAGACGTCCAAATAACTTCACTGAGCGGAAATCAGCGTGGCGGCCGGATCGGTGCGAATGGGTGGACCGATCGTTGAGGCCCAAACCCGGCTCGCCTCGCGCAGCCCCCTGCCCGGAGCCTGCGCCCACCTCTATCGAACCATCACTGCCCCACCGACCCGGCAGCTGAAACGCCGGCCAAAAGTGGATTCTTCTGCGTCCCGCCAAACCTCACGTCTGTACACAAAATGACTCTCCTCACCGAGCCCGCGACCCCAGCTTCCGGAGACAAAATACCGGCGGAATGTCCGAGGAGGGGGCGTCCCAGCGGCACTGCATATGCGCGCGCGCATGTCCTCTGCAACAGCGGCCGCCGGAACCGACCGTACCGCGCGCCCCTCGGGTTTACGTCTGTTCGCGGCACGAGCCGAGGGCAGAAGACTCAGGAACGGCTTTGGATTGGACGGAGCGAAGGGAAAGGGCTGGCAGGAGCCCGATGATTGGGCGAGGACAGCGCGCCCTGGATTTGAAGCGAGGAAGCAGCGATCCGCAGATCCGGAGGTCAGCACTGCCTGAGAAGCGGAAGGGTTTTTCGCTGTATCTGAACCGAAGGTGCCCTGTTGAAAGCTTTGGACAACTAGAAAATAATGCATACCTTGACTTTAGGACCCCAAAGCACTGTCACCCACCATATACACAAATATTTCCGGTGAACAAATTACCTGAATTCAGTATTGTTGCCATTTTTTTGTCCTTACATGTTTCTATCACCGTTTGGCAGATGCTGAAATGTGCCATAGCCCCCCACCCACCCACCCACTGCTACTTAGTCCCAATTAGGAAATCATTCCTCGGGATCCAAGCTTTATGATAGTTCGCTACACCTGATCGCCTCTTTGTGATGAATAACGTTTGGTCTGGTTGCAAAGGGGTGAGGTGATGAGAGATAACTCATCCTTAATCAACTTTGTAAGTTTTCCTATCCTCAGGCCACAAATCCCATCAGGGACATCTGCTCAGCTCAAGGCCTTAACTACTACTTTACTGAAACTATATAATTAAATTTCACACTTTTTACTTTCCTTTATCTCAAAATTTCTTCCATAGTCTCAAAAGGAAAGAGTCTCTCCAAAGCTAACTCCTTTAACTTCATTCAAGTTATCGTTTAAGATGCATGGTGTACTTGGGAGAGAAAAGGAAAAATAAAACAGTTGAGTCTGACAGTCCTACTCCTAATTTTAGCCTGGTGTGGAAAGATATGTATATTTGATCACTTTGCTTCGTATGTCCTCTAAAATATTGCTCAACTGTCACTCCTGGGAACCCTCTCCACTCGTTCCTTTCTGCCTTTGGAAATGCTGCATCTTTCCATTCAAAAAGCAAACAGCACCCTTCCTTGTTTTATCACCTGAAAACCATTCAGTCTCTCCTACCCTTAATTGCCTCCACTTTCACAACTTATTGTCACTCATTTCATGTTATCAGCTTGGTCCTAAGCATTAATTACTTTAACACTTGTTTTAATTTATCAGGTCTGGCTACCTGTCAAACTGAGTCGTTTCCCCAGTTCTAACATCTCTTCTTGAAACCTTCCAGCCTTGTAATGTATAATTACCCCTTTTCTACCTTTGTTCATACTCAGTGAACAAAGAATAAGCGAATTCTGAATCCTGAAAAATAAACCAAATATTTATTAGCTCTAGAGCTGAAAGGATGCTATTTGAGTATGAGCAACCCTTGTTTCACAGGGTATTTTAACTCTTCTATCTATAATACACCATAGCCATACATTGGAGGTTAACTGCTGATATCTGTATGTTCCAGACTATCATTCACCCTGTATCCCTTGTACCCAACTCAATAAATCTCCTTCCTCTACAAAAATCAAAGGCCAAAGCTCTCCCCACATAACCCAGCAACTTAGTATGACTCTAGTGACAGGGATCTACGATCCAAAGTATCTGCAGGCAGGAGAGCCTAGAATCTGATGCCAGACTGCCTAGATCTCAATCCTGGCTCTCACTTCCTAGCTGTACAGACTTGGGCAAATGGCTTTAAGCTGCCAGTTTCCTAATCTGTAAAATGTGGATAATTCAAGCACTTGCCTCAGGTTTGTTGTCAGGATTAAATCAGTTAACTTAAAAAAGACATATCTAGAAGAGCGCTGGCATATCGAGTACTCAACAAATATTAGCTATTATCTAACCTTATTTGCCAACTGAAAAGGAGGAAGAGAACGCCCAGGAAATTCCAAATCTCCTTAGACATTGAGTAGTTTGCAAAAGCCCCATGGCCAAGAGTGCCTTCCAGGGGACTAGAAGTGATGCCTACCCAGTTATGAAAAGGCAAACATCTACCACAGTTCCCCTTTACCAACTACTGTAAGAGGTAATACTTTAGCTGCGAATACCCAAAGCCTTCTACAATGTGACCACAAGATATGATCCCAGATTAATCTCCCACTAGCTCCCTAAATGAACCTTACTCTTTCATCAGACTAATCCTTCATTCTGTTGCCTTAACACACCCTTATCCTCTTTCACTTCTAGGCCATCATCACCCTGGAATGTCTATCCTACTCCGTTTCAATCATTCCACCTGTTGAAATCCCACATCCTTTCCAAATCCTGCCAGCTCAAACAAATCACTTTCTTTTATGCCTAATATACTGTTTCAACCTTTATTATGAAGCCTAATCCTCATTATCTTTTGTAAATTTTATAAATACCTTTTCTCATTAGAAAGACAGTGTGCAAACTACCTTTGTATTTTTTATATGTATCCCAGTGTTTAGCACAGTATCATGCACATTGAAGATGCTCAATATTCACTAAACTGGATAATCTGTCTTAATCCATTATCCATTCTAACCCCAGGCACCTCTATAACTGAAATCTCAAAGATGTGAATTCTTAATTCTGAGCTAGATTCAGCCTTAAGTTAGATCCCTTGATTTGAACCTAAACAAATCTACAAGTCTAAAACAAGTCCTTTAACAGAAGGAAGACCTTTGAGAATTATTTGGAAAGGATTCTTTTTCTTACATTGGAATGCTAAAATGCCAACTTTATAGACAAAACATTTAATGATTAGATATAACAAAACACAAATGTACCTTAAAATTATTACAATATGTCTTACCAGCTGTTTATCCCTTGCATGTTAAGAAGCTCTAGGTAGGGTATGAAACTATTCATAGGAAAGGTTTCTTTAAAAATTAGATTATAAATTATTATAACATATGGTCATAATATCATCTTTTTATTAACTGATACATATTTGAAATGCTGCTCAAATTGTATCTTTCTCTAGCCCTAACAGTAGTTAAATCCTTGACAATTTCTGAGAAAACTGAACCAAAAATAATATTAATCCCATAGTTTTAATCATTTTACCATAATTACTGTCAAATATATTCTGTTTTCAAATTTTAAATGTATCATTCTAGAAAATAATCTAATGTTGTCTAATTAGATTGAAAGTCAACATCTGTCAGTTCTACATGTTAGTCTACATACTATCTACCTTTCAAATAAATGTCATGCCCATCCCATAATTTTTTATTGTATGGATTTTATTTTTAGCAACATGGTATTTTAAGGAGATACAAGGTTTTCCAACTATCAAATAGAATACATCCTACTTTTATAAGGCGACAGATTCATCTTTCAAAATATATTTTATTAAATAATCTACTTGGAGAATTACAAAAGCTTTAAACAGTAATTCCAAGTAGTGAAAACAATTCCCTTTAGGAAAAAAAAATAAAAAGACCAAACAGTCTATATTATGTTTTACTGCTTTATACACAGGAACAATTTATTTTACAAACTGGTCAGTTTCAACATTAGCCTGTAAAATTAAAAACATTTCTTAAATGTCTCAAAGGCAGAGTAAACTTTATAATGATACGCTTTCACATTAACCAGTATGTGAACCATAAGAAACACCATGGTAACAGTTCAAAATAAGATTTACAAAACAGTCACTTTGAAGTCAGCTATTGGGTGTAACTCTCACAGTTCATGTTACTTGTACGTATCTCATTTTATCAAAGGTTATCAACCAATGAAGAAAATATTCCTTTGATGCAGAAGCACAAATATGTTTAGGTTCCAAACACTGTGTTCTGGTTGTAATACATGCAAGACAGACCCTAAATTAGAAAAATCTTCTGAAAGAAAATGAAGAAAAACAAAGAGCAGCCAGGAATGAAAGCATCTACAAGCACTCGAATAAGGCCTTTAAGTGTTAAGTCAGTGTTTTAAACCCCTTCATTCTCAGGCAAGGGATTAAGAGGCCGAGAGAGAGATCGTCTGCTAGGGTGAGGATACTGGAGGTTGGCAGTGTCAGCATCGAAAGAGTGCTCTACCAGAGGAGGAAGAGGAAGAGGAGGAAGAGGAGGAAGAAGAGGAGGAGGAGGAGGAGGAGGAGGAGAAGGAAGGAGCTGGGCATAACTGGACCATCTTGATCCAGCCCTTGGGGAATCCAGAGAGGGAAAGAAATACCTGAAACAATGAGACAGGAACAAAACACCAAAACAAAACAAAAACAACATAAAAAAAGAAAGGAAAAAAAAAAAACAGAAGAAAAAGAGAAAAGTAGTAAATACAAAGAACCAAAAAGGAAAACACATACTAGGGGGCAGGGGGGTGGAGGGGAGCTTTAGTATATTCATGCCAAAACTAACAGAACATAATAGCAAAAATCAAGGCCCTTACTCAAATCAAGCTTGCTTAATAAAGTACAGCAACTTGAAAGAAAAAACACAATCTGTTAAACTTAAAATATTTTAAAAATTATCAATATGAATATTACAAAAAACACATTAATTTTATAATTTAAAACATTTTCTAACCTCTCAGGAACATTTGATGCTATCCCATAAATTTACAAATCTAATAAGCTTTTTCTTTAAGCAATGCTTCATTTGTAGTAGCAGCAGGCACACATTTTTTTAGTGCAAACATGTTACCGAGAACCAATTCAAATATATTTTCACATAGTATGGCCAGCTATTGCAACATATTTTCGAAGAAATACAATCTGTGAATATTCTTAGCTGTTTTCTGCAAAACCTTAGAATAGTAGAAAATTTTGACAACTAAAAGGGCTCAAATATGTCCTATTGTTATTCTGCCATTTTATAACTTACCCATAATACATATGCATTCTAGCAAACAAAGATTTATAGCTTGGTCATCAAAGTCAGAGTTCTACAGGATATAAACTTCTAAATGAAGCAGCCAACTAAATTAAAATCCTGGGACATGAACGTGGAAGTTAATGTGCATGCACAATTTCAGCAAAATTTTAACTGCTTCTCTTATAGTATATTTCCAAATTTTGACTTGAAGGAAACCTTAAGCCACAGAATCACACCATAAAAATACACGAGTACATATTAGAAACATTAATCTCTTTAGTGAATATAAATTGAAAATTTACAAAGGTGTTTTCATTTTACTACCAAATTATAAATGAATACCAAATGTTTAATTTGGCTACAAACTGTACAATTTACTTTCATTTTACTACAACTTGACTCACTCCTTTATGAGTATTTTTAAAATAGTACAAAGAAATGACAGAATTGTACTGAATATCACGTATAAACCAATTTTACAAAAAGTGAACAAATTAACACTCAAAACAATCTTTATGAAAAATATTTAATCTTGAAATTAAAATTATAGAAATTCATCATTTTTGCTTACTGTTTTAGAAAACAAAAGAAATAAGCCTATATTCTCCAAATGGAATAAAGTGATATTTTCCCTCCTCCCAACTACTTATAAGGATATTAACATCTTTTTAATTTTAAAACCCATGTTAGTTTCAGGAACTAACAATTTCAAAAAATTGTTTTGGTGACAATGTCGCAACAAAAAGCCTCTCCATTTCAAAAGTTTCAAATAGTATCAATAAACTGGCTAGTACAAAAAAAAATGATATACAACTGTATTTTTAAAGGCCTTTTGGATTGCCAGTAGTAAGCAGGCTGCTGGTGTATCTTGGGAGAGGTCAAATGGCGCTGGGGAAGGGGAAAAGGAGCTCGCTTTCCATTCCTGTGTGCATGCAACAAGCAGCAAAACAGCAAAGTTACTCCAGTTAGCTGGTACTCAGCTGTGCTTTCTGTTAAAGGACATAACACAGATGGAGAAGGGAAAATGCATCACAGATCTAACACACATGGTTATTGGCATAGTAAGAATACAGATCAAAACTTCATAGCTCTTCACAAAAGAAAATATGCAGTACAGGCAACAACCAAAAACCAGGTTGTTGTTTTTTAAAATAACACTAGTATCTTTTGCTTCATGGAATCATCTTTATAATATGATATTGTCTATGGTAACCTGAAATTGTTTTCATGCAAATACTCAAACCTCAAATCAAATAGCAGGTCTTCTTTATAAAAATGTAACAAATATAAAGACTGTTGAGAAAATTTTAAATTCAATTCTCTTATTTAAGATGACAACAGAATAACCACAGGACAGTTTATCAAGGCTGTGCTTTGAAGTTTCCTGAATCGCAATCCAAATTATTCACAAAGCAATATTAACATGATTTTATCTTACAAATTCACATATATGAAATTTTAATATGAAAACAAAAGCATGACTCTTTAGATCACATCAAACGTTCTTTATTAAAATAAATAAGAATCTAAAATGTTAAAAATTTTGAAAATCAAGCACTCGGAATTTACCATTTCTTATCATCTCCATTAAAGTTTTAAACAACAGCCAAAAAAAAAAAAAAAACCAATTTAACTTACTCTCGTCTACAAAGCCTTAATTATTTTTATTTAAAATTTCAGTTTGACCTGATTTAAAGGCTACACTGCCAGCCCTAACACATTAATAATCTAGGACTAAAATCCCATATTTCCTCTTCATCTCACACGTCAAAAGCAAAATAGAATCTTAAAGTTATAAACATTTCTGATAGACCACTAAATTTCAGAATATAATTTAGTTTAGTTAATGGCCTCAAAACCTATGTGTAAATATTATGACTAAGTAAGCCAAATACAGTTAACAAAGTGAATATGAATTGAAAACTTTTTTCTAGTGTCATAATTATGGGTGAATTTCTTCATTCAATCTTAAAATCCATGAAATAACACATCTTAAGTATGGCTACCAGAATGATTTAAAAATAAGATAATTTCTAGTTTTCCATGAATCAGCCTACCTGCCAGCAGAAGATCCATTTAATGAATTTTGAAGATTTGGGATATTTGAACCTAGGGAAGGATTTGAGTTTCCCTGCTGAGAACTCCCATTGACAGGGCTCCCATTACCTTTCAAAATACCAGTACACTTCCAGTTCTCCATATAATTTGCTGCAAGGAAAATGATCAAATACATTAACATGACTAATACCTATGCTCAAGGACACAAATCTATGTTCATGTCCTTAACCTACAATTAAAGAAACAAGAGCCCTATAGGCTATATTTCTCTCAGAATAAATGTTAAAGACATTTTTAAATAAAATAAATATAGCTTAATTTTAACAATTTTTTAAGTCTTAAAAGAATTACTAATTTAAAAAATAAAAAGCTTTCACCACCCATTTCCGTTCCTTACAAGATAAATATTAACAGAGACAATTCTCTAAGCTACTGCATTACTACATTACAGCAAAATAAATTTTTGTCTTCATTATAATGAATTGTAATTACACGTATGTGTAGCGTAATGGAACTGTGTTCTTCGTCATGTGGGTACCTAATTTCCTCAGAGATGGATGTACGTAACAAAACATTTGGATTTGAGTGGCTTATTCAACATGGCCTAATTCTTTGAATAAAACATTGGTCACTGGAGACACTGAGCCCAGGAAACCCAAGTTAGGGAGCCTGCTGGGTGGAGATGGGTGGTTTCAACTAAAGCCCAGAGCAGGAAAATGGCAGCAAAGCACCTGAAATCAAATTACACTAAAAAAGGGGGGTCTGAGCTGCTTCTACCCCAACATAAAACTGACCTAACTGCATTTTGGGAAACAATACTGCTTAGGGTAAATGAACTAATCTATGATTTTGGATCCTAAGTGTGGGAAACCACTGACTAGACTGGTGCACCACCCACTAGAGTGGAGCACAGGCCAAGGACACCTCTGCCCAGGGGATAAACATTTGTGCAAAAGTGCAAACCACACTACAGCGACCACAGTCAGTATCGACTGACCAGACCAAAGTTCTCTCTCAGCTTGGCATTTGTAAAAAACTTTTAGAATCAGTGGCTCCGAGACTCCTGAACTTTTTGAGAGCTGCAGAGGGTAACTGGGGAAGATACTGGGTTTTCTCCTATTAAGGGCTGGTTGGCTAAGCCACTGTTGAGATGACTATTGTGAGTCTGCAGAACAATCACACAAGTTACACATATAGCAAACAGCATTTTAGAGATACTGCATAGTCTGTTACAGTAACCTTTAGTTTTAAAAGCTGCTTTGTTTAACACGGAAACTTAAAAAAATAATTCAATTAGTCATTAACTGTTATAAGCTGAGTGATGAAGGTTCAAAAAAACAAATTAATATAAGACATAATTTAAAAGTAACTGTGGAAAGATAGTTTTTTTCAAAATATTTAGAGGTTACATTTCTAAGTGAAAATTCTAAAGCAGCAATATAAAGCAGATTCACTGAAATCTTACCTTTCCACAATCTTACACAGCCATCATCGCCTGAAGATGCTAGCACTGTTCCTGTTATATTCCAACTCACTCGCCAGACCTGAGAATTATGATTATCAAACTGAGCCACTATATGGATTTCAAATTTTGTTGGCCCACCAGAGGAAGTAAGTTCTTTCCTGTTAAAAAAATTTTCCTGAGGAATTCTGCGAAAAGGTTTACACACACACACACACACACACACACACACACACACCCTACTTAAACAAAAAAAATATGAATGGTCTCACCTATTTACCATATTATTTTATAGTAATGTGTATATCCATACCACCCGCCCCCCATAGTTCATTGGGCCGTGTCACATTCATTTGACTGCCCCAGCACCTGGGGTGGTCCTACCACATAAAAGATAATCAATGACTATTTCAGAGACAAAAGATACAACAAAAGAGGATTTTATTCCTTCGAAGTTGAGGAATAAGATATATAATAATAATTCATTTTAAAAGAAAAGCAGTAGGAAGGGAAGAAGGAAGAAGGAAAAAAGGAAAGAAAAAAAACTGAAATTCATTCCAAAATTAAAGCTAAAAAGGTTATTCACAAGAATGTCAGTACTAATTTAATTTTCCCTTAGAATGCCACCTCTCATTCATTCAAACATTTATAGAGTACCAATTATATTCAGAGGATCTAATTCATTGTATCAGCCTAAATAAAACACAATTAAGAAAATATAAATCTTGCTTTACTCAATTCCCCTTCCCCAATAAGTCATATACGGGGGTGCTAAATAATGTATACAAGTGGACACGTTGGTCAACATTGCTCAAGCAGTATTTTGCCGTAATCAGAAGTGTCTGACCACACCTCTTATAATTGCAGAAGTCAAACGTGACTTGTATTCATCTTTTGTTATCAGTATATATTGAGTATTATAATTTTAATACAGTTTTCCTTTCTTAAAATGTGTATACATTTTTTTGGCACCCTCTGTTACAGATGAAATATTCATTAAAGACTCCATTCTTCAGATCAGTTGCCTCTATATGGTCTTCTTCACAAATGAAAATAATCAAGATTTAAGAATACTTTCAAATTAGGAATTCTTTCAAAAACTTACCTCACAGGCTTTAATGTAAAAATTCTCACATCTTTGGTTGCTATGGCTAGAATATGGTAAGATCTTCCCAGGTTTGGAGCAAATGCAATATCATGAACAGCATCTGTAACTGTCATGAGAGTTTCAGCTTTTGCATATTTCCTAACAAAAAAACAATGAAAAATTCCAGAAATAAAAAATTTAATAATCCATATGTTGCGGTACCTCAATTTTTTTATATTGCTCACAATGAAGTAGTGTTTACCTCTGCAATATGTACTACGTCCAAGTCCTAACCCTCAAAACTGTGAATGTCACCTAATTTGGAAAAAAGGTCTTTGCAGATATAATTAAGGATCTCAGGGTGAGAACATACCCTGGGTTTAGTTGAGTGCCCTTATAAAAAGACAAAGAAGAGAAACAGCAACATAGAGAAGGCCATATGAAGACACAGGCAGAGACTGGAGTTAGATACCACAAATTAAGAATTCCTGGAGCCAGCATCAGAAGGTGCGAAGTCCAACAACACCTTGATTTCAGGTGTGTGGCCTCCAGAACTGTGAGAATAAATTTGTTTTAAGCCACCACCACATTGTAGTGATTTGCTACTGCAGCCCTAGGAAACTTATATAACCTCCCAAGTTTCTTCCGTTGATTTTTTTTTTTTTAAAGATTTTTTTATTTTTATTGGGGAATTGGGGGGATGGGAACAGTGCTGGGGAATTGGGGGAAGGGGAACAGACAAGTTGCTGTCGTTTTGTTCTTCAATCTAGTTGTGGAGGATGTTGCTTCACTGGCCCAAGTTGGCACCATCATTGCTCTCTTCTCTGGGAAGGCAGATCAGTCACCGGCTTCTGGACGGCCGCTCACTGCGGCTGCTGGCCGCTCACGCTGGCTGCTGGCTACATATGGTAGCCCATAGCAACTCACTGCCACAGGGAGTGCAGCCTACGCTGTCGCCGGCGACTCATGGCAGCCCAGCTCCAGGTTGAGCTGTTGTTCAGCATCTTAGCTGTAGAGGGCAGTGTCACTGGCCCTCATATGTGGGATCCGAACAGGGGCCCTCTGACATCCCAAGCGAATTCTTAACCATCGCGCCACTCGGCCGGCCCCGTTGATATTTTTTTTAAGTTTAGCTTAAGACACTTTAACAAAAACTTAGAGTGGGATCTTGATTAGCCATTAGTATCTTTTTAAAGAAAATATGTTAATTGAATCTCATAAGTATTTGAGTGTAAATGAAAATAAAGCTCATTAACAGCAGGAATTGAGTTTTTTTAATGGTGATAAAGGAAGCTATACTAAAATCTATTTCATCCTTACAATTCTACTTTTAGATCTGCAAATAGAGAAGTAGATAATGAAGGAGACAGCAGATCAAATTTTCTATATCTTCAACTGACTGTCAGGGACAGTACTGAAGCACCGTCTGTTGGAGAGTGGGGGTTTAAAGAGATGCCCCTTTCCCCCTTTCCACCCTCTGAAATATTGGTGTTCCCAGCATTCTCTACCTGGCCTTCCTTCTTTCTGAAATATCTCCAAGCTAATATGCACCTTAAGGTTCCCTTCTTGACCTCTTTTCACCCTATACGATCACCCTGAACAATCTCATTTATACCCTTGCTTTTTTTATGTGCTTGACTCCTCTATTTGACCTTAGACTAGTCATTTTATTTTGTTGGTCTCACTTTCTTCATTTGTAAAATGGTGTTAATATAATAAAAGCTACCTATCCTACTCATAAGATGGCTGTTAGCATTCTAATTTCATAACATATGTGAAAGTGCCCTGTAACTTATATAAATGCAGGGCACTTGTATTATTAACAAGGCCAGGTCTATCTTAATATTTTCATTCACCAATAGAAATAAAGATATCCAATACTGGTTAATTTGACAAATGTTTCCTGTGTACTTCTCACAAAAAGAACAATTATGTATCAGTAACTGCTTTATAGTCCACTAACACATATCCTCCATGTAACATGTTCAATCTATTAAGAACCTTCAAACAACTTTTACTTCAAAGAATGAGACCAAAAAAATCCAAAAATAGCTCAATTCTCAAAAAGGTCTAATAACTTTCTAAGTCAATTCCTCCACACACCACACACACACACACACACACACACACACACACACACACACACACATTGGTACCTACCTGATGCCACTTCCCCATCATTCTACATACAGAAAATGCCAGATGCATGCTGACTACCTTGAAGCTTAAGCATGGGTAAGTGACCCAATTCTTGCCAGGACCCAATGAAAAATCCTAAGATGTTTCTACAAATGTTTTTCTCTTCCTAATACAAAAAGGTTCATGAAAGAAAAAGCCCTTCTTTGTATCTGCACGTGAAACCTGGAATTCTTATAATCCTAAGAAGGAGCTGTCATCAATGCACTAAGGATAACAGCATAAAAATGGAAAATACTAAGGCCCTTGACATCAGCACTAAGCAAATGAGCCACTTAACTGTTAACTCACAACTTCTCTGTAGCCAGGCCTTTATTATATGAGATAATACAGGGGAATCCAGCCTCTGCTCTAGAGATTTATTCTCCTAGCTGAAAGACTCATATGCAACCTCGGATTATCTTTATCACTAGGTTCTTTTAAGTATTTAGGTATTTTCTACCTACCCAGTATTTTCTTTCAGAACTAAATGCAAGTTCTTTATCCCTTTACTCAAATCTTATTGATCAAATACTTATTTTCCTATGTTTTAGAAATGGTCCACCTTTGAATTTTATATATATGGCTCATTATTCATTCTGTTCAGCTAAGGTTAAAAAAAATTAACAAAATTAGCTCTTCATGAAGCCTCTTTAAAACATGCTATTAACATGGTTCATAGCTTTGATGGCTTAAAAGGAATTCTAGGGAAAGGTTTCTATATTCTAGAAGTGTGCTGGCCAAAACAATAGCCATTAGCCACACGTGCCTATTTAAAATTAAATTGACAGAAAACAAATTCAGTTTCTCAGTTGGAGTAACCACATTTAAGTATCAATAGCCACATACGGCTAATGGCTGCTGCATTAGATGTGCAGATATGTACCATTTCCATCATCACAGCAAGTTCTATTGGACAGCACCATTGTAGACAGTCTCTCTAAAAAAATAAAAAATCTTGGAAGGTACAAGGCAGGTAGGTATAAGAACCCCTTAAAAACCCAAGTAGTAACATTCTGAATTGCAGAGCTCACAGGAATTATGCTAGTTCTTCTCTTCTACTTCTGGCCCCACCCGCTATCTAACAACTAGACCCAAGAATTCTGTCTAGCACATGTGACGCCTACCCAATCACCTAATGGGTGCTCTTTCCTCCCTGAAGGCTGAGTACACCTCTGACACGATCCTATGGCTCTCAGTGTTCCAAGTATCTCAACATGACCAAAATTAAATTTTTCTTCACAGGCTGTTACACTCTACCCAAAGCTGCTGTTTCCAGAGTTCCTTATCTCAAGAAATGACACACGATCCATTGAAATTACACACTACCCATTGGCCACACCCTTGTAAATCATCTTGATAGCTCTCCCCGTCTTCTTCAACTCCCATATCCAATCAATCACTAGGTCCTACCGATACCACTTCTTAAATTATTCTCAAATTGTCCACTTCTTTCCATTCCCACTGCCACTACTCCATTCCAAAGCCACTATAATCTCCCACCTGAGCTATTATAACAGCATCCTAGCCTTGAAACCACTCATGTTCCCTTCCTAAATACTTTCCACACCTATGGAAAAGTTAAACTATCATTTGATCCTATTAGTCCCCAACTTAAAAATCTGTCAATGGCTTCATATTACCCTTAAGAAAAAACCTAAACACTGAACACTAGATCTTACAGATATAAGCCTTGCATATTTCTCACCACACTTCCTTTTGCCTATTACATTCCAACCACAGTAAAAATATATATTGGTTCTCTCTTGTTCATGGACCTTATCACATGCAGTTTTCTCTATCTGAAATGTTTTACACTCTTTGTCTGGCTAACTTCTTCTCATCCTAAAGGTCTTCTTTTGGTTGAACTTCCTAGCCACCTTCACCCTAGTGGAAGCTCTTAACATCCTGACTCTCCCAGATTAAAAAATTCATCACCATTTTTTAACTTTTTTGTTTGTTTTCCCTGCAAGATGGTACACGCTGGGTAAGCAATTACCTTGTCTTCTATATCATTCAATTTTATATCATCATAGCCTATCACAGAACATGGCATATCATAGGAAATCAGTAAATATGTAACGAATAATGCATAATTCAGTTAATGAATAAAGAAATAACATTTTTAAAAGTTAAGTGCAATTTGGAACAATTTTAAAACTGAAACAGTACTGACCTGGTGTTTTCATTATATTCGAAAATCTGAACCTTGGCCATTGCATTTGGACTACTGTCATCACTTCCTACAGCAATCATAGGGGAATGAGCGCGAGAGCTAAAAAATGAGTTAAAAATATTTACATGATTAAATTAATATACATATAATTGAGAGAATTTTTAAAAACTGGCATCAAGCAGCTCTACATAATCCACAAGTTAGCAAGACACTACTGTGATTAAATCCCTGCCATACATCCAACAGAGACAACACTTTGGCATGCCTTCAGAATGCTCAACACCGGGACTGAGGATACCACTGCATTGTTTACCATATTTATGTGGGTTGGTGCAAATTGCGGTTTTTGCAACTGTTGAAATTTGCCTTGGATATTGGAATACATTCTTATATAAATGTGGTTGTTATACATCATTTTAATGTGCATTTCTCACTTCATGGGTTTTGTTTTGTTTTGTTTTTATTGGGGAATTGGGGGAGGGGAACAGCGTTGGGAAATTGAGGAAGGGGAACAGACAAGTTGCTGTCCTTTTGTTCTTCAGTCTAGTTGTTTAGGATGTCGCTTCCCTGGCCCATGTTGGTATTATCATTGCGCTTTTCCCAGGTGAGGCAGATGGGTCACCGGCCACTGAACGGCTGTTCACAGCGGCTCTTGGCAGCTCACACCTGCTGCCAGCCACTCACGGTCAATTTATGGCAGCTCACTGCAGCCTCACTGCAGCCTACACCATTGCTGGCGACTCACAACAGCCCAACTCCATGTCGAGCTGTTGTTTACCATCTTAGCTGTAGAGGGCGCAGCGTCACTGGCCCTCATGTGGGATCCAAACCGGGGCCCTGCTGCTCAGAGCTGGAGTCCCAAGCCAACTCAACCAACACTCCACTCAGCTGGCTTTTTTTTTTTTTTTTTTTAAGCTGAGCCATCTGCCACCTGTTGGCAGCTCAGCAGCAACTCAGCTTGGGCCGGGCATCAAACCACTGTTGCTCAGAGCTCGCACTCTTGCGTGAGCTCTTAACCAACTGAACCACTCGGCCGGCCTTCAGCTCTTTTTGTTTTTGTTTAACTTTACTGGGAAACAATGTGTTTTTTCAGGACTCATCAGCTCCAAGTCCAGTCACCGCTTTCAATCTTAGTTGTAGAGGGCGCAGCCCACCATCCCATGCGAGAGTCGAACTAGCAACCTTGTTAAGAGCACACGGCTCTAACCCACTGAACCATCCGGCCTCCCACCAGCAGCTCAGCTTAAGTCGTCGTCTTCAATCGAGTTGCGGAGGGCGCAGCTCACTTGCCCATATGGGAATCGAACGGGCAACCCTGTTGCTAAGAGCACGCGCTCTAACCAACTGAACCACCCAGCCACCCCCTCACTTTATGTTTTTTTGCTAATGACTTATTACTTGCTGTTTATTTTATTTATACATATTTTAGACTATGGAAACAATTTGACAGAAAGCAAATTCAAGCGATTTTCTTATCTGAGTTCAAAATGGGTCATAAAACAGCAGAGACAACTCACAACATCAACAACACATTTGGCCCAGGAACTGTTAACGAACGTACAGTGCAATGGTGGTTCAAGAAGTTTTGCAAAGGAGACGAGAGCCTTGAAAATGAGGAGTGTAGTGGCTGGCCATCGGAAGTTGACAATGACCAATTGAGAGCTATCATCAAAGCTGATCCTCTTACAACTACACAAGAAGTTGCCGAAGAACTCAACGTCGACCATTCTATGGTCATTCAGTATTTGAAGCAAACTGGAAAGATGAAAAAGCTCAATAAGTGGGTGCCTCATGAGCTGACTGCAAATCAAAAAAATCAATGTTTTGAAGTGTCATCTTCTCTTATTCTACGCAACAAGAACGAACCATTTCTCGATCGGATTGTGACATGTGACGAAAAGTGGGTTTTATATGACAACTGGTGACAACCAGCTCAGTGGTTGGACCTAGAAGAAGCTCCAAACTTGCACCAAAAAAAGATCATGGTCACTGTTTGGTGGTCTGCTGCCAACCTGATCCACTACAGCTTTCTGAATCCCGGTGAAACAATTACATCTGAAAAGTATGCTCAGCAAATCCATGAGACGCACTGAAAACTGCAATGCCTGCAGCACTGGTCAACAGAAAGGGCCCAATTCTCCACAACGCCCGACCGCACATAGCACAACCAATGCTTAAAAAGTTGAATGAAGGGCCGGCCGAGTGTCTCAGGTGGTTAAGAGCTCGCTCAAGAGAGCGAGCTCTGAGCAACAGCAGTTCGATTCCTGGCCCGAGCTGAGCAGCCAACAGGTGGCAGGATGGCTCAGCTTAAAAAAAAAAGTTGAATGAATTGGGCTACAAAGTTTTGCTTCATCCACTATATTTACCTGACCTCTCACCAACTGACTACTTCTTCAAGCATCTCTGACAACCTTTTGCAGGGAAAACACTTCCACAACCAGAATGCAGGAAATGCTTTCTAAGAATTGGTTGAGTCCTGAAGCAGATTTTTATGCTACAGGAATAAACAAACTTACTACTCGTTGGCAAAAATGTGCTGATTGTAATGGTTCTTATTTTGATTAATAAAGATGTGTTTGAGCCTAGTTACAATGATTTAAAATTCACAGTCTGAAACCACAATTACTTTTACACCAAGCTAATACTTATAGCTGAGAAAGAAAGTAGCTCTTTTCCCAAAAGAAAAGGTATCAAGCATTCAATAGATTTAAAAACAAACAAAAACAACACCTATAAGGTCTTCAAATTTTTCCTCCTGAAAGATTTGGTCATTAACTATTGAATGAAAAGTAACCCTATGGTGACCAAATTCAGGACAAAAAGATTTCAAGTGCTTTGTACAAAGTTTCAAAACCCCAATGGAAGGAAGAAAAATAGAAAAAGACCTCCCCTCAGAAGGGCATGGCCCCACATGTCATTCTCTTCTCTAGACTCATTTTAAAAGGCAACAGATAAGCAATAATAGAATGAACTCTACTAAACTCTAGGTTAAATGATTTTTTTGTTGTTTCTATGCCTGATTATCTAGATACTGATTTCCTTTGCCTCCCTTATCCAGAATACGTAATATCTCTATGAATATGACACCTTTGTTTAACCTTTTACTTTGGTATTGTGATCTGCCAATTCATAAAGCTGAAAACAAAAGGTGGTAATGGAAAAAAAAAAAAACCAGGATAGCTCCTTATTACTAAAATTTCTGATAATGAATCATGTCACTGGGGGGGGGGGGGGTACAGAACAAGTCACTGCAAGATGTACCTGTGGTATGCAGATTGTTTTGAACTACAGGCAACTTTAACCTCAGGTTTAAGAGAAACTTCTGGCCCCCTCTACCCAACTACCTAGAAGAATTTGAATTAGAGGCCTTGCCCATAACAGATTATCAGAGATAACTTCTTTTGACATATCTATACAGCAGGGCAAACTTCTATTTACTAAAGGTCTGCTCTTCTTATCATCCTGCATTGACTTTTTGAAGCCCCCAAGGAACCTTACCTCATCCCTAGCTCAGTATGTCTTATCTACCATGTTCCCTTTCTATCTCTGAACCTCTCATGCATGTGGGGTCTGTGACTCTCATGTATTTGGGGTTCCCACACATATGTATGTATTAAATCTGGTTATTTTCTCTTAATAATCTTAATCTGTCTCATGTTTATTTGATTATTAGACCAGCCAAAAGAACCTTGAGGGTAAAGGAAAGTTCGTTCCTCCCCCACATCACCTAATATAAGAAAAATATCAGGTAAACTGAAATGTACTATAATAATAAAATAAAATTCCAAGCTATTTATAATTCTTGGCCATTAAAAAAGATGTAAATTCCATAGTAGTTTCTATATCTCACAAACTCTCTTTTTAAATGTTCTATAAATATAACTCATTGTTTTTAATAATGTGAAATATGTGAGCAAGGACCAAAGGTACATTTACAGTAACATATTCTGAAATTACTGAAAATATCTTTTAAAACATTTTATTATTATAGTTTATTGGGGTGACAATGGTTAGTAAAGTTACATAGGTTTCAAATGTACAATTCTGTAATACGTCATCTATATATCACAGTGTGTTCACCACTCAAACATTTTTAAATCAAATTATAAAAAAATCTAGATAACAGAATTGAGGATTACCTCATTTGTACATCCAGAATTAAGATGTTCACATTTTAGGCCATTTTCCAAATATGACTCAAACCTAAACAGTGAGATAAACCACCTGGTTCTCTTTAAATAGTAGATTGCTTCCCCTCCCTTTTAAGGTTCCATGGAAATGATGAAAGAATGACACCACAACAATGCTAGAAATCAGAGTGTGCGATCAGGAATCAAGAAACTTGGAAAAATTCCACAAAGACAGGAAGCAGGAGATGAGACAGAGAAAATGCAAAGAGAAAAAGACCCCATGTCACTATTAATAACGAAGAAATTCTAGAAGCTCCAACCTCCAATCAACAAATGCAAAGAAAAAGAATGAGTCATGGGATAATTATAAAGTGATTCATTTAAAAAACTGCAATCAGAAGACACCCCAACCCCCACCCCAAGGCTCACAGCTGACTCTGTTCTAGGCTAAAAAAAAGTCTGAGGAAGGAGCCTAATAGTAAAATGATTTAGAATTTAAAAGAGAGATAACAACTTGAAATAAAATAGTACTTACTCCAAAACTGGCAAGGAGAGGAACCTGAAGGAACAAAATACATTAAAGTGCTCCATCTCCAAAGTCAAGTCCTCCTGACTTTGGCAATTTGGGGATACCCCAAACCTGCCTGTTACCTCTTCACCTACACTCCCCACAGAGAAATCCTGTGAACCCACTGCATCTACTTAGATGAAACTCAGCCAATCCCCTTGGAAAGAGAGTGAGCTGTTTCAGAAAACAGAGGACCAGGGCCGGCCGTGTGGCGCATCAGTTAAGAGTTGGCTTGGGACACCAGCTCTGAACAGCAGGGCCCCGGCTCGGATCCCACATAAGGGCCAGTGACGCTGCGCCCTCTACAGCTAAGATGGAGAACAACAGCTCGACCTGGAGCTGAGCTGCCGTGAGTCGCCGGCGTCGGCGTATGCTGCAGTAGAGCTGCAGTGGAGCTGCAG